GTTAGTTCAAGCCCGTAGCCAAGTCCATAGTCGAGCGTCCCGTTAGGGCGGCCAGCACTCTGGCCATCACCGCCAGCTGTGGCAGGGGGGGGGGGGAGCGGAGGGGGGGGGACTCGTGTGGTGGCCGCTCTCCACCCAGCCCGATGGAAACCTCCGATCATCCGTTCCCCTGCTGGCTGCACCGGAACGTCGCCCCGCTGTTTCACCGCCTGCAGCATTGCGTGACTGGGAGCGTGGGCTGGCTACACGTTGGCAGCACGTCAGGTACGGTCAGGGGCGTTGTTTCACAAAATGAGTTGCGGGGGAAGGTAAAGCGATGAACAATGATGAAACAGACTCCCTAAAAAGCTCACAAATGGTTTTTTTAACAGACTGCCCAGAGTCTACTACTTTCACCTTTCTCACTATTTCGTCCGACTTTCTTCACAAAGTTGGGGAAGCCCATGTTGGTGATGGTGGTGGGGGAGGGGTCTCAAGCCATGATGAAGGGAGCCCTTAACTAAAAGGGTAACTACACCCCTGGGTCCGTTGCAATTTCGAGGTCGGAGACACACCGATCCATCTGTGGATGCCGCGAGATTCTCACCGCTCGAGGCCACGACCTTTCCACCCGCAGCAGAGGGCAGAACGACAGAACGCTAGCGTACTGGGGCGCGATGTTTGTCCGTTGTCTGGAAGTGAAATGTCACCCCTGTCCAGGGGTGATAATATCGGGCGGGACGTGACGTCCGCTGGCCAGGGTATCTCGGACGTGATCCGTGCGACCCCGGCCCGCCGCGGGGCACGGGTCAACCACGCGCTGGGCGGCTGGCCTGGTGGATACCGACCTCGTAAATAGCGCGATAACTCTTCTCGCTAGCTATAAACTTGGAGCTGGCCGTTTCTGGGGCGCGGGGGGCATCTGATGCACCGGCATTGTCGAATGATATGTCGGTTCCCATAAACCCTGTAATCGGCCAACCATCGGAGCTCTTCCTATCATTTTAGCCTTTCCGAATGTTTTGTTGAACATTCTTGACGATCGTCAGGCCGACGAAGCCCGCCGCCAGTGTGGCGCCTCTCCACGGCATGCGCCGGTGATGCGCCGCGGTCGGTCGGTAGCGTGTCATGTTGTGTGCTGCCAAGGACGTTTGCTGGCATCACTTCGTCACGCAAGCTCTTGCTCTGGGCGCTTGGGAGCCCCGGACATGGTCTGGTGTCGTCTGGTCTGGTCTGGTCTCGTCTCGTCTGGTGATGGTCTCGTCTGGTATGGTCTAGTCTGGTCTGATCTGGTAATCGTCAGGTATGGTCTGGTCTAGTTTGTTCTGGTCTGGTATGGTCCGATCTGGTCTGGTCTGGTCTGATCTGGTCTGGTCATGGTCTGGCGTTGCTCTTGTGTTGCAGATCTTGCACACCATTGCACATCGCAGAGCTTTACGGCTTGTGATGCGCCACGAGCATGCAAACAGGCAAAACGCTCCGCATTTGGTAATTTCGCCGGTGTTTCGCCTGCTCCATTATGCAGAAGTTTGGCCGCTCCCGTGTTAAAACCACGCCGCTGAAAACGGAGTGTTCCGCCGCTCTAGCGGTCTTGATTTGGGAAGACATTTCCATTTGCATCGGCGAGCGGCGCTGCAAAAGTGGCATCGCTTTGAATGCCGCGCTGTAGCGACTGCCGCCATCCGATTTCAGCTGGAATAGCTGGAGTCTGAGCGGCGCGTTAGGGCAGCCCGTTGTTCGCCTGTCCCGCTCCTGAAGCGGCCGGGCGCGCGTGGGCGCTTCATTAGGCGCGGCTGCCGACTGGGATGTGACGGTGCCGGAGGGACGCAGCCGGCGGCCGTTCCCTGGTCGGGCAGGCTCGGAGCTCGCTCCGGCGCATCAGATGGCTCGCAAGTCGTCTGGACCTGGAGTTCGGAGCTGAGAGGTCCTTCCAGCGCACTACCCAGCTCGCTCGCGAGCCGTCTGGACTGGGAGTTCAGAGCTCAGAGGTCTCTCCGGCACACCGCTCAGCTCGCACCGGGCCGTGTTCCGCCCGAGCTCAGAGCTCACAGCTCACAGCTCAGAGCTCACAGCTCAGAGCTCACAGCTCACAGCTCACAGCTCACAGCTCACAGCTCACAGCTCACAGCTCAGGGCTCACTCTGGCTCACCTCTCACCACGTGCCGGCGTGGGCTGCGGGCTCCGAATGGCCGTTGGAAGCAACCGAATCCTGCCTCTCACCCAACTGGACGGCCGTGAGCGGTGACAGCAGCGCGTCTGTGACAGGCGGTCATACCGGGCGGTCACGACAGGCTGACAGCGACGACAGGACGCCTATTGGACACACGCCTGACGGAACGCCTGTGTGACGCACGCATGAAGCTATGCATGGTTACCTCTCTGACAGACAGGAGACACGGCTGCCCCTGGCGGCGAGCGTACCGGTTCAGCCCGGCGGCTCCTCCACGACCGGCGCCTGGCGACAATCGCGGACTGACTCGGCAGTGGCGCGCCCTGAACCGAGGCCTGCGCACCGTTTGTTCGCGTCTACTCGGCTCTCTCAAACTGTACCGTCGTGCCGAACGTGCGGCCACCTTCCGACGCTTCCGCGTGTGGGGAAGAGCGAGCCGGGAGGTGTTGACGATTTAGTCGGAGATCCACGTCTTTCCTGCGGATTTCCCCTGTGTTTCGCCGCATGCAAAGTGGCCCAGGCGGTGCCATTTCCCTCGATAAATCAGTGATCGGCGCCACGGCTGAGGGCGGCGGCCATTCGGACCGAATCCGCCGGCTTCCGGCTAATGCCGATATTCTGTTTGTGTGCCTCAGTGGAAGATGTTGATGAGGGGGGGGGGGGGGGGGGGAGATAAAGGAGTTCTGACGACATTTGGAAGTCGACGCGAAGGATCGGCTACCCTGGGACATTCAGCTCGTGTGATCGGAGAAGGGGACTTTGGGCACATATGACGTCACCAGCTGTGTTCGAGGCCGATTGGTGGCTATGCAATCACGACATCGTCATCCGTCCTGTTTTCGCCTCGGTATTCAGGTGCGGCCTGCTGTGAGCGCTCTGAGCGTCAGAACACCTCCTCTCTGTGCTCTGCAGTCCCTCCGTGGGTCGGTATGGCTCTGTGACCTCTGTGACGCCCTGATGGGTGTGAATGGTTCACTGCTCTGTGCGAATTCTGCGTCTCTGTCTGGTTCAGAATGACTCGCTTCCCACTGTCAGCCGCCTGTGCATCACACCAATTCTCCGCCTTCTAAATCCGGCTGAACCGCTGCCTGCGAAGCGGAGCTGTGGAACGACGCAAACGCTCCCCAGTATCACGGCTTGGGTTGGACACCCTGCGCCTAACGGTGCCTTCTATGGCTTTGCCAAGTACATTTGACCGGCACTTTGGGGCGATGGCGGCCGTAAAACACTGCCGTACCATGATCGCACCGTTAAATTTCGTGCAGGGTTCCGTTCTACAGTGGCCAAGCCACGACGCGGCGGCGGGTGCGGGCGGCCACTAAACGCTGCCGTGTCACGGCGTCGCCTTGCGAGCCGCTGCGCCACTCTTGTCGCAGCTCGTCTGGCGCGCCGCCGTTGACGCGGGCGTCGTGGACGCGGGCGTCGACGGCGAGCGACGGATGAAATGGCAACGGTTTTCGCAAACGACCCCGGGAAAGGGGTCATTTCGCCTGAAGACGGCTAAAGTGGCTAGCGTGACCGCTGACCAAGCTTAGAAACCCTATTAGTTGCCGCGTTACGAAGCGAATCGCGAAATGAACACAGAATAAAATGAAACGGCTGGACGTGGGAAAATGGCCGTCAGTGTGCCGGCAAAATGCGGCTCAGCACGTCAGAAGGCCGGCTGGCGCTCCCACTGCGCCGTCACCACGCCGCCGAACGGGCCGGCAGACTCGTGACGTCGCAGCCGGCTTGGGACACTGCCAGTCGGCCGGCCTGAGGCTGCTAATGACCAGGCTGTTTGGTGTCACAAGACCGGGAGCTCGGCCATTACCCGATTACGCCGCTGTGGCGCGGGTAGGCACGCCTCCGCCGGGACGCCCCTGGTGACCATGCATACCCATGCCCCCCCCCCCTGCCCTCATAGGCGACCAGACTCGCGTGTCACTGTAACTGTGAGACTGTGACTGTTCCGCCTTCACCGTGGAAAGCTCCATTCATGACCGAAACGGATTCCCAGTGTGAGGATCGACGTATATCGTCGTTGGAGAACTATGCCGCCGCACGGACTCACCACAGGGTCGCCGAGCCGTGACTGTAGCGCGTTACGCCGAGCCGCTGCGACGGCGGCAGGTGCAGCAGCCCTCGTTGAAGGGCGGCAGCGAGGCTGGAGCAGATGGGTGCCGGCTGGCCGCCTCCAGAAGCGTGCATCACTCACTCCACGGGGCGAAGCGTGGAGAGAAATAAAGAAATGCAGGCCGCTGTCGCTGGCTCGTTGCAGCCGCTGACAGCCGCTTTTGCACTGTCGCCGTCCCTGCAGCGCAGCGCGGGCTTGGCCGGCTCTGGGCTGCGAGGGTGGGCGGTGGTCCTGAACGAGACGGGGGTGCGCGTGCTCGGCTCACACGGGGAGCGGCTGGCCCTGTCGGACTGACCCGTCGGGCTGGGTCACCAGCCCGTCGCCGTGGTCTGTCAGTGGAGGGACTGACGACAGCGCTTGTCGCTTTCCGTTTTGCAGAATAAAGAACGCGTGCCCGACAGACGGCAGCGTGTGTGTGCGGTGTGTGGCGCTTGTCAAAACAGCTGTCGAGTTACAGCAGCGTCAGGCCGAGGTGCGTGAAGCTTAGCTTTTGTGGCATACGACTAAATTAGTAAAATTGAGAGAAACCATTATGTATTAGATAGGTGGCCCATGACGCGTTCCGAGGATGTCCTGCGGTGGGCTGGAGGCGAGGTCTGAGAAACCGAAGTCGGGCGCCGCATTGACGTCCACCTCCTCCCTCCCCCCCCCCCCCCCCCGTTGTCTTCAGGGACTGGACCATCAGTCGGCTGGCAGAGGTCGGGCCCTGATCAATGTCCTCCTGTTGTCCTCAGGGACCGGATCATCAGCCGCCAGCTGGCCGAGGACGAACACCTCATCAAGTCTGAGCCCTTCACCAGCGAGGGAGAGGATGACATCGACGACGACGAGGACGAGGACGACGAGATCGACCTGGACGAGGATGAGGACGAGGACGAGGATGAGTACGAGTACGACGAGGATGAAGACGAGTATGACGACGAAAAGGATGAGGATGATGACGAGGATGCCGACGTGGCGAGGGAGGTGCAGAAAGTGAAGTAAGTTGGCATGTTTGGAATCGTCCATAAGATGCATGTCCTCGCCCGGTTTTTGCGCCGCACAATGCTCGCGGGAACTGTTATTGTCATGCACAGAGAAGTGCGGCGAAACCTGACCGCGAGTCCGTTGGGGGTCTGCCAGTTCCAGTTCCAGTTCCGCCAGATCCGTTTTGGGACGCTGTTAACGGATGTCCAAAGCGAGCGTCGTTCGTGTGTCCAGATCCCAAGGCTGGATCTCAGATCCTTCATGATTCTGCCGTGGCCAGATCCCAGCCATAGGTCCGGGACCCCTGCGACAACCCCAGGACCCGTCCGCACCGCAGCTCTGGCCCGTAGCGCACGGTCGCATCTCCTCCCAGTCAGAGAACCGGACTGCTTTCGCGTGGCGTGGCGCTGCCCGGGCCCTGGACTGTGACGGTACGGTCGGCTGCTGTGTGGAGCACGTCTCTTCACGCGTCGGGCTGGCGTGTCGCGGCGCCGGCCGCCGTCCGTCTGGAATGGCGATGCCGCACCGCGGACCGGGCGGCGGCGTGATGCTGTCCGCCGGCCGCCGCCCGCCTGGAGTGGCGATGCCGCACCGCGGACCGAGCGGCGGCGTGGTGCTGTCCGCCGGCCGCCGCCCGCCTGGAGTGGCGATGCCGCACCGCGGGTCGAGCGGCGACGTGGTGCTGTCCGCCGGCCGCCGCCCGTCTGCGGCGCCCGGGCGGCCCCGGCCCCTGAGACGAGCCCTCGGCGCCGGCTGGCGCCCCGCCGCAGCTGGAGGCACGGCGGCGTCACGCCAGCTCGGTGCTGGGTCACCGGCCGTTATGAGGCGTTAGGGCGCGATGACCTGGAGCGGAGTAGTGGCGAGTGTCGTGACACAGCCGGGCTCGCTGCGTCGTTACGCCGAGTTTTGATCCCGAGAAGAGTGTGGCTGCCTTTTTATGATCCCTGCTGGAAAGCCGGGTTAAAGTATCAATCACGACTCCACGGCGACAGGGACACCTGGCCGAACATTGTCCAATTGATGCGCTTTATGCTCAAAAGAGCGAGCATCGTTTCAAATGTACCATGTAGCCGGAGGCAGGACGTCAAGCTTTGTATCGCCCCAATAAATTTCTTTAAAGCCGCCTAATGATTACAGTTTGCTGTTGAAAGACACTCATTCCGACACATTCGCCACACTCGCTTTTCTTAAGTGTCCTCCATCGGCGTGCGGGGTGATGGGGTTATTGAGGCCGCGTACATCTGATGCAAATGGGGAGGCTCATCCAATGATATCGAGTGGTGTTGTCATATCACGCCGAATCCAGGCTAAAAGCTTAAATGGAATTTACACAAGCCTATTTTACGTGGCTTTTGGTTTACCAGAGTCCTACTAATAACTCAACATCCCGTACCGAGCGCCGTCCTCATTTCTTGCTGATAATGAACGTCTTCACCAGTCGGGCGTTTAGAGAGAGCCCTCTCCACCACGGTTCCACGGCCTGGAGGGACGATCTCCTTCACGGCCTCGCTGGCTGTTCGGAGGATCTCCATCACCGTCTCGCCGCCTGGGCGGAGGATCTCCATCACCGTCTCGCCGCCTGGGCGGAGGATCTCCATCACAGTCTCGCCGCCTGGGCGGAGAATCTCCATCACAGTCTCGCCGCCTGGGCGGAGAATTTCCATCACAGTCTCGCCGCCTGGGCGGAGAATCTCCATCACAGTCTCGCCGCCTGGGCGGAGAATCTCCATCACAGTCTCGCCGCCTGGGCGGAGAATCTCCATCACAGTCTCGCCGCCTGGGCGGAGGATCTCTATCAGAGTCTCGCCGCTTGGGCCGGCGGCGTCCCATGAGACGCGCCTTTGTTCCCCGCGACGCCCCGTGACCCGGCCGGCCGCCGCTGGCGTCCCATGAGACGCGCCTTTGTTCCCCGCGACGCCCCGTGACCCGGCCGGCCGCCGCTGGCGCGTATCAGCCCCGGGATCACCGCCGCCACTTAGGGCTGGCAAATTTACATTGCGGCCCTCGCCCTTGTCTGCAAGCTGCAGCAATCTCGGGTGGACCGTGTCAAATATGGCGGTGTCCCCAGGGCTGTCCCGGCCGTGTCCGGCCGGGAAGACACGGTCTGTTCCGCTGTCCCCATAGCTGCCTCGGCTGTGTCCGGTCGGGAAGACACGGTCTGTTCGGCTGTCCCCAGGGCTGTCTCGGCCGGGTCCGGTCGGGAAGACACGGTCTGTGCCGCCGTCCCCAGAGCTGTCTCGGCCGTGTCCGGTCGGCAAGACACGGTCTGTTCCGCTGTCCCCAGGGCTGTCTCGGCCGTGTCCGGTCGGCAAGACACGGCTTGTTCCGCAGGCCTGGTGTGTCCGGAACAGCCTGTGTCCGGAACAGCCGGGTGTCTCAAAATGCTTCTAAACATCAGTGGGTGGCCAGGTCCTCGGCATCATCTGAAGTGCAGGTTCTAAGACGAATTGTCCGTTAAATACTTAAGTGCCACATTGAAAAGTGACCCGCTGGCCACCTTGGGCGCGTTGCTGTGTGATAGTACATCCCGCTGTCTCAACAGCGTCCTGGGACTCCATTACCGTGCTGGGGGCGGCCTGCACCATTCCGTTGCAGAGGCCTTGCTCGCCACCTATTATTCCCTCCCAAGTGGTGTGGAGAGTACTCCCCGCTGTTGGATCCTACCCTGGTCTGTGCTCCGTGCCGCACAGAGAGCCAGCAGAGACGCGATGGCTGAATGGTCTGAGCCTGCCGGTCCCGCCCTTGGGGCCTGTAGTCGAATCTCGGTTGCGCTAGGACCCTTCGGTGCTAATATGACGTGGTAGCCGCCGGTGCTCATGGGGGTTCGCAGTGGCGCGTGTCACTTTCGCTGAGAACGGATACTGCAGGAAGCACCGTTAATCCCGCCCGCTCAGCGTTCTGCCCTCGTCCCTATGGGCGTCGTATAGTCACCTTCTCCTGTGTGCCAGGGAATGTCATCGGAAGTGTCACTTCACCCAACTGTCACAGTGTTATCACCATGCCCTATGTTCCAGGTAGTGCCCGGAGTGCCCCTTCACCCATTGGTTGCCGTGTGATCACCGTGCCCCCGTGTTGCAGAGCGCCGGGAGTGCCCCTTCACCCACTCGTGGTGCTGCCACCATGCCCCGTGTTGCAAAGGGTGTCGGGAGTGCCAACAGTGTCCCTTCACTCACTCGCTGCCGTCCCGTCACCGTGCGCCTGTGTTGCAGAGAGTGCCGAGAGTGCCCTTACACTCACCCGACCGTGTCGACCTACATCTGCGGCACCGACAACCGCACGTACAGCTCGCTGTGCCGGCTGGAGCAGCACAACTGCATCCACGACTCCCTCGTCACCACCGACTGCAAGGGCTTCTGTCCGTGCCGCGGTAGGTGCAGTCAACACGGCGTCTTCTCTCCCTGTCGACTGCGAGGGCTTCTGCCCGTGCCGCGCTAGGTGCAGTCAACACCGCGTGTTTTCTCCCTGGCGACTGCGAGGGCCTCTGTCTGTGCCGCGGTAGGTGCAGTCAACACCGCGTGTTTTCTCCCTGTCGACTGCGAGGGCTTCTGTCTGTGCCGCGGTAGGTGCAGCCAACACGGCGTGTTCTTTCCCTGCCTCACTGTGTACAGTCATGTCGTGCACCTTGCAGTTATTACGGTATGGAAAGAAAGATATGAATGGCGTGAATGGAAGGACGTAAATGGCCCGGAATGTGTATTGGAACCAAGGAATATTTTGTGTTGGAATCAAATATTCTGTGTTGTGGAGTAAAACGGACATGTGTAATATCTTGGTGTTAGCTTTAAAGGCTAGTGCATGGCCATATGCTCTCAAAGGTTAGGCAGTACGCTTCGTTAACACGTTTTAATCCTCCTGCCTTTATCGTATGTGCCCAGCAGTTGGTAACTCCGGCCAAGTTCGAATCACTGCGAGCGTTGTCTATTTTTCGGCACGCGTCATTAACCGCGTTTTGCGTTTTTCCCCGACAGCTTTGTCATTACTAATTGCGTCGTCTCAACTTTTCCGTTCGACGGTATTGACACGGGGTGTTAACCTCGTCATTAAAGAGTCATTAATCGACCGCGAAGCCCCGCTAATTCCTTTCTCTTCGCGTTGGCCTTGATGGCGGATAGGGTGCACTGGCTTATCGCCGGCGCCGGTATCACTCTAAAGACCCGTCTTCCGTTAACGCGCTGCCGAAGCGAGCGGTGATAAAACACGCCGTGTCCGCGCCCGACCGTGCCACCGGTCCATGACTCCTTGAGCCAGGTTCATGTTCTCCTACGGCCTTGGCAGTGGCTAGCGTGGTTTACTTGGCTTGATTCCGTATCTGGGTGTCGGGCAGGACCGCCCGCCGGTGTGGGCTGGGTGTTGGGTCTCGGTGTTGGGTCTCGGTGTTGGGTCTCGGTGTTGGGTCTCGGTGTTGGGTCTCGGTGTTGGGTCTCGGTGTGGGCTGGGTGTTGGGTCTCGGTGTTGGGTCTCGGTGTTGGGTCTCGGTGTTGGGTCTCGGTGTTGGGTCTCGGTGTGGGCTGGGTGTTGGGTCTCGGTGTTGGGTCTCGGTGTTGGGTCTCGGTGTTGGGTCTCGGTGTTGGGTCTCGGTGTTGGGTCTCGGTGTGGGCTGGGTGTTGGGTCTCGGTGTTGGGTCTCGGTGTTGGGTCTCGGTGTTGGGTCTCGGTGTTGGGTCTCGGTGTTGGGTCTCGGTGCGGGCTGGGTGTTGGGTCTCGGTGTTGGGTCTCGGTGTTGGGTCTCGGTGTTGGGTCTCGGTGTGGGCTGGGTGTTGGGTCTCGGTGTTGGGTCTCGGTGTGGGCTGGGTGTTGGGTCTCGGTGTTGGGTCTCGGTGTTGGGTCTCGGTGTTGGGTCTCGGTGTTGGGTCTCGGTGTGGGCTGGGTGTTGGGTCTCGTGGACGCTTTCGGCACAGATGTCGAGCGTACTTTCTCGCCTCACGTGATCAATACCCGACTTCCGCCTGTAATCCCCCATGTTTGGGTGCATCTGAGAGTCGGGCCGTATGTCGGTCTGGGTTTCTATCTGAGTGGCCACCTGGAGTGCCCGTCCGTCCGTCTGGGTGTCTGTCTGGGCGTTCTGGCCGTCTGTCAATGCCCGTCTGGGCGTCCGTCTGTGTGCCGGTGCCCGTTTGGGTGTCAGTCAAAGCTTCGTTGGGGTGCCCCAAGTTCCCATCTGGGTGACCACCAGAGCGTTATTTGGGTGCCCCAAGTGGCCGTCTGAGTGACTGCCAGAGCGTTATTTGGGTGCCCCGACTGGCCGTCTGAGTGATCGCCAGAGTGTTTTTTGGGTGCCCCAAGTGGCCGTCTGAGTGACTGCCAGAGCGTTATTTGGGTGCCCCGACTGGCCGTCTGAGTGATCGCCAGAGTGTTTTTTGGGTGCCCCAAGTGGCCGTCTGAGTGACCGCCAGAGCGTTATTTGGGTGCCCCGACTGGCCGTCTGAGTGATCGCCAGAGTGTTTTTTGGGTGCCCCAAGTGGCCGTCTGAGTGACCGCCAGAGCGTTATTTTGGTGCCCCAAGTGGCCGTCTGAGTGACCGCCAGGGCGTTATTTGGGTGCCCAAGTGGCCGTCTGAGTGACCGTCAGAGCGTTATTTGGGTGCCTGAGTGGCCGTCTGGGTGTCCTGAGTGTCCACCTGAGCAGCGGTATGAGTGCCGACCTGAGTGTCCGCCTGCGCCGGCAGTGCCCGGCTCCTACTGGCGTCGGAAGCAGAAGCAGCGGGACCGACTGGCGCGGCCTGAGTTCAGCAGCCACCAGAAGAAGCTGGCCAAGACCCGGCTGAAGAAGAAGGTGAGACACAGCCGCTTCAGCACTGTTGGACGACGAACGCATGTGTGGTGGGAGGGAGAACCCGTAGTCGCCGGCTGGGCGCGTCGGTAAAACGTCCACTGTAACTAGGATTTTGTGTTAGTCACCAGATTCCCCAGTGAAACGGGCTGTTTTGAACGCACAGAGAATGTGCGGAGGGGCTTGTGCGTGGTTCCCGCCTCCGAAAGGTTTGTCCCCGAGAGGTGTGCTCGACCCGTGCTGCGTGGAGCGCGTTCTCCGGCTGGAACGCCAGTCAGGCTTCATCCTGGCCCTGCTGCTGTACCCACCGCGCTCCGCCGGTGCGGCGAGCGGGCGGCGCACAGTGACCGAGCCGGGTAAGGCGGGTGCTTGGACCCGGTGCGGAGGGCTCTGTCAAGGCCGACACTCGCCGCTCCTGGGATTGCGCGTCCGCTCGCTTCTGACAATCCGCCGTGTTGTGACGGCGTGCGGTGATGCGGAGCATTTTGCTCCGGGGGAAATCGGTAAGTGCCCGACAATAGCCAGTCACGAAGGCTGCGCTGGTCGAAATCGGCTGAAGGGAAGCCTCTGAAGTGGGTAGCTGCACGCGGCTACTGCTGGACCTTCTTCAGCTCGGTGTCCCGCGTCCGTGGCCTCTGGACCTGACCGCGAGTGGTCCTGCGGGCCCGTCGTCGACAGCGGCCTCTCGGGGCGGCGTGGGGGGCCGTCTCGCGGGCATCCCCACGCCTCAGGCACGGGCCCGGCTCTCCGACAATGGAAGCCCCGCGTCGCTCAGCCATTTGCGTGGCTGATGATGCTGCATTCCGGCGCTGATTCCCGTCCGGCTGATGAGAGTGATCGCACCGTCTCCCGCCCCCCGGCCGGGCTCAGTAGGGGGTCCTCGCCGAGTCCGGGGCGCCGCTGTCGCAGGGACGCTCTGCACACGGCTCCCAGAAGGGCGACAGGGTATTGCTGACTTAGCTTATTTTACCGGTGGCGTTACGTAATTTGACAATCGCGTGCTACGGTGTCTGTTCGCATTCGTTTGTGGATGGCGGAGCTCGTGTGCGGGCCATTACGGCTGCCGTGGATCTTATATCGCGTGGCAGCTGGTGTTATCATAGTTATTATATTAACAGCAGCGCGCGCCGTGCTGGAGTCGCCTCGGCGTAACCAGTGGTGCCACATCACTTCCTGTTGTTGGCTGATTTCGGGACAACTTACTTTGAACTATGACATTGCGTTATGGATGTATGAGCGATCATTTACGGTGAAAGGTATCCACAACGTCAAATGGTTATTGCATCTTCCTGTCGTTTTCGGGTTATTAAAAAGGCGGCGTTTGTAATGTGTGCCGTACAGAAATTATCGCAGCGCACGAATAGATCGAAGAGTCGCGGAAATCATGGTGTCAGGTGCCCAGTTCAGCGTCAATTCGTGCTCAATTCAAGGTTCAGACAGCACCGTTGACATCGCCCCCCTTTCCCCATCCTCCCATTTTCTCCCCTCCTGTCCTCGGTCGTACCGGCCCGTGCTCCAGCCGCCCTGCCATCCTCCCATTTTCTCCGCTCCTCTCCTCGGTCGCACCGGCCCGTGCTCTAGCCGCCCTGGCATCCTCCCATTTTCTGCGCTCCTCTCCTCGGTCGTACCGGCCCGTGCTCTAGCCGCCCTGGCGTCCTCCCATTTTCTGCGCTCCTCTCCTCGGTCGTACCGGCCCGTGCTCTAGCCGCCCTGGCATCCTCCCATTTTCTGCGCTCCTCTCCTCGGTCGTACCGGCCCGTGCTCTAGCCGCCCTGGCATCCCCCCATTTTCTGCGCTCCTCTCCTCGGTCGTACCGGCCCGTGCTCTAGCCGCCCTGGCATCCTCCCATTTCTGCGCTCCTCTCCTCGGTCGTACCGGCCCGTGCTCTAGCCGCCCTGGCATCCTCCCATTTGCTGCGCTCCTCTCCTCGGTCGTACCGGCCCGTGCTCCAGCCGCCCTGCCATCCTCCCATTTTCTCCGCTCCTCTCCTCGGGCGCACCGGCCCGCGGTCTAGCCGCCCTGCCGCGGCACTGCGCGCGGATTGGCCGGCTGCCGAGGCGGCAGAAGCCGAGTAGTCCGCAGTGGACGTTTCCTGTGCTGTTTCCCTCATGCATCTTGTATGAGCTCAGCTTTAGTGAGGCAATCACTTGTCGATGCGCCCCTCGGTGCCAGGTGCTCGAGGGTGGAAGTGTCCGCCGCACAGAGCAGGTGGTGGTGGTCGGCGCAGCTGTGGCGCCCTCGTGTGAAGTGTGGCGCTTAGATGGCACCCAGGTGCCTCAAGGCGTCCAGCATGGATACAGCAGTCGCCAGTGACGGCGCTGACACAGCAGTCGCCAGTGGCTGCGTTGACACAACAGTCGCTAGTAACGTACCTGACACAGCAATGACACAGCAGTCGCCAGTGACGTCGCTGACACAGCAGTGACACGCGTCCCCAATCCTCTTCACTTCCGACATCTTCTTCAAACGCGCCGAAAGCCGCGTGCGCCGCGCATTCGCTAATGAGTCATAATCGCGGGGTGAGGTGCTGCCATCTGTATGTTAAGTTCGCGTGCACTATTTTTTGTTGCTTTTTTGGCATTTTTTTGTCGCGTGATTTGAGCTCTCGCTCAGTAGATTAGATGCCGGCCCCGGGATGAACCAACCCCCGCTCTGTGTTTCCAGTACGATAAGTACAAGCAGGACCAGAAGAGCTACAACAACGTCAAATACTATCCCAAGAACACCGGCAAAAGCTACAAGCACCAAACTAGTAAGTGAATAGCCATCTTTTTGCTCAGCCCCACCGTTGTGCACGCTTACTGCTCGAATGTGCGCATTTGAAGACGACGTGCAGGGTAACAACGCACGAGCTAAGCAAGTCAAACATACCCGTTTGGCTGGGTCACTTTATGTGAGCTCTTTTAACGAAAGAACGAAGGTCATTTTTACGTGAAATGCTCGACGTTTTGTAATAGCTCGTCAAATCCCATTCAAGGTCTGCGCCCCAGTGCTCATATGTTAGCTTATTCCAGTTTTCTATTGCGTGATATAAACAAGGTGATGCAGAGGATCGTCTAGGCTGAAAAGAATGGTTTGGAAATCGTTAAAACCAGATAAATGGTGGAAATTAGCGTCATGCAGTTGCAAGAACCGTTCTCGGGCCTTACCGCTGTCTCCACAAAGGTGGTCTTCCTGTCAGCAGGGGCAGTCTTCGCAGGCTCTGCTTTTTTGTCTTTGGTAGGCTCGCCTCAGGAGACTTGCATTAGTGTGGCGCTCGATACTACCGTCTGGATGGGGAGCCAGTCGTGTCAGGCACATTGTGGTACTAGTTTCGCAGCCTTTTATTGGTGCCCGTAAAGAACAAACTGTTTCGTTGTTTGCTCGCTCCGTCGATGGCCCATTCCCCGTCGTTGAGTTTTGTATCCAGCTGTGTTGGCTTTCTCGCAGCAGCCCTGGCTTGCGGCGTGTCGTAATGTTTTCGGTGAAGCTCACACCTCTGTATGACCTGCACGGATGCTGTGGCTTTGCTTGATTAATGCCGCGGTATGTCTTCGTAAAAGCCAAATGCTGCTCGCCAGTCGACGATTTTGAGGAAAGCTGGGAAATGTGGGATTTAAAAACGAAGCGGATCGCTTGTTACAGGCGCAGAGTGCTCAAAGGAGGATCTGGACTCGATGGGCTCCCGTCTGGTAGACTGGTTTGTCGTTCTCAAGGCCACCAGTGGCGGCGCAAAGCCCAAGAGGAAGCATCACAAGTACTATAGCAGTGAGTAGCACATTCCGTCTTTGCGTCTTCTTTCGGCTATTAGTTTGATAGAGTCGGCACGATCGGAAGGGTGGTGATGTTCATGATACCGATTGTGTGAAGGAGGGCGGTATTCATGACGCCGATTTGTACGACTGATGATGCCAACGCCGCATCATCAATCAGACGTACAGACAGGCAGACGGATGGGACGATGATTGATGCTGATGATGGACCTACATGTCGGCGCGCGAAGTCTTTGCTGAGGTGATGTCGCGACTAGTGTCCCCGCAACGCCCAGCTTGTTGCGCCGACACCGAACTCGCTGAGTCATGTGAAGACTCTTGTGACTCCGTTGTTGCCGGAGGCAAGGGATAGAACCTCCTGCCTCCCACGTGGCCACGTGGTCGTGGCCACGTGCCACTGCAGGGTGTTCACGTCCACGCAGCGCGGCGCTCGTGTTGACGGGCGCCGTTGTCCTGTCCGCCGCCACCGTCAGCCCGCGGTGTTCTGCCTCCAGCTCACTTCCCGTCCGACTGCAAGAAGATGGCCCAGTGGATGTTCCTGCACCTGGACACGGACGCCGACACGCAGCTGACGCAGCGCGAGCTGTTCGCGGTCGAGCGCGACCAGCACGAGCGCTGCCTGAAGCCCTTCCTCGACCGCTGCGACCTCAACGTGTGAGTGAGGCGGCGAGCCGACCGGATCGCAGGACCGGACATAACCGGACGTAACCGGACAGAGCCGGACCGGACCGCTCGCATCCTTCTCCTGTTGGGAGTTCGCCGTTCGCGGAGGTGTCGGTTCGGTATCAACGTGCACTGGGCTCCATAGTGTCACGGCGTTTGTGGGTGTTCGTGGACTCAGGTGTTCATGGAATCAGGTGTTCGTGGACTCGGGCGTCCGTGGACTCGGGTGTTCGTGGACTCGGGTGTTCGTGGACTAGGGTTTGCCGCCGCAGCTTGGTCAGGTCGCCCTCACCTGTAACGGCGATGCGGGAGGAGACTAACGTGGAGGACAGGCGGCTGGGTTATCGGTGAGGTCGATGGATTGGCGTCGCGGGGGTGGGATGTCACGCTGCTGGGGTTGGATAGCCCCCCCCCCGCTTGCTCCCCAGTAAGGGGTGTAAGCGGGGGGGGGGGGGCTGATGGAGTGGCGACACAGGTGCCTTCGCTGTCTGCCCCACCGGGCCGGCCTCTCCCATGCTGGCCGTTCTGTGTATTAACCGGTACGGGTGGGGGCGGCGGGGATGGCTGATCGCTGCTGGCCGTAGTTGGCTCGGTGCAGTCTCTTGCCCATGTCGGCTCCGGCTGAGGGTCATCTGTCAATCTCAAGTCCCAGCAACTGATGTTCACTCACTTCAATTTCCCAGCCAGACGCATCGCCGTATGCATGTTATTTTGCTTTCGACGATGTTTTAGATTATAAGTTTTGTTGGCGTGCTTCTGTTGAGAAACGAGTCATCGGTTGGCTACTGCTAAGTTTTTGATGTTCTTCATGTGCTCTTCTTTTCACGTCTCCCCGTTTTCCCCACAGTACCCGAGTCATCAGCCTTGTCAGCACACTAATGCTGTGTGACGTATCACGCGATGCTCGTATTCGCTGCTATTTGTTCCCGGGGGTGTAAGAAATCCATGCATTATTTACGGCCCGTCGCCCCGCTGCGCCCGTCCGCGGCTGCCGGCTGGAACATAAAGACGCCGCTCCGCACGCGCTAAGCCTCACAGTCTGCTCTGTCAGAACAATGTCCATGTTAGTGCTGAAATCTTGGCGCGATTACCGTTTTCTCAGAACAGTTTGCTCGCGACTCCTAGTTATGAGCGCTCATCTCCGCATCCGTGGTGCGATAACGCCTCTCCCGATGTATTTTGTTTTTCGTTTTTGCTTTCTGCATTTGAGACCCTCATGTGGTCTGTCTGGTCCACTCGGGGGCCACACTGTTTTAATGAGGACTGGACGGACCAACTTTAAGACCCTCGTGTGATCTGTCTGATCCACTCGGGGACCGGACGGTTTGAATGAGGACTACACGGACCAACTTTGAGACCCTCAGGTCTGCCTGGTCCATTCGGGGACCAGACGGTCTGGATGAGGACTAGACGGACCAACTTTGAGACTTTCGTATGGTCTGTCTGGTCTACTCGGTGACCAGACGGTTTGGATGAGGTCCAGACAGACCAACTTTGATACCATCGTATGGTCTGTCTAGTCTACTCGGGGGCCAGACTGTTTGGATGAGGACTGGACGGACCAACTTTGAGACCCTCGTGTGGTCTGCCTGGTCCACTCGGGGGCCAGACTGTTTGGATGATGACCAGACGGACCAGCTTTGAGACCCTCGTATGGTCTGTCTGGTCCAGTCGGGGACCAGACGGTCTGGATGATGACCAGACGGACCAACTGAGCACCAAATGGACGGGATGAGGGCAGTCGGTCCACTCAACCTTTAGCTCCAGTTGATGGCTATGCGGGCCGGAGGGTGCTCTCCGGCCATCTGTGGAAGGGCAGCAGGGGAGGGGAGGGGGCCTGTGGAGGGTGTCGGCCCTGACCGCTGCCGCCGTCGCCGCAGGGACATCTTTTTGACGACGCGCGAGTGGTGCCGCTGCTTCGAGACGGTCGACACGCCCTGCAAGAGCCGCACCGCCGACGACGGAGTCCGGCCCGGTGAGAGCGCCGCCGGTCACCGCACAGCAGGGGTGGCCCGGGCAGTCTCCACTGACGGAACGAGCACAGCAGGGGTGGCCCGGGCAGTCTCCACTGACGGAACGAGCACAGCAGGGGTGGCCCGGGCAGTCTCCCACTGACGGAACGAGCCACAGCAGGGGTGGCCCGGGCAGTCTCCACTGACGGAACGAGCACAGCAGGGGTGGCCCGGGCAGTCTCCACTGACGGAACGAGCACAGCAGGGGTGGCCCGGGCAGTCTCCACTGACGGAACGAGCACAGCAGGGGTGGCCCGGGCAGTCTCCACTGACGGAACGAGCACAGCAGGGGTGGCCCGGGCAGTCTCCACTGACGGGAACGAGCACAGCAGGGGTGGCCCGGCAGTCTCCACTGACGAACGAGCACAGCAGGAGTGGCCCGGGCAATCTCCACTGACGGAACGAGCACAGCAGGGGTGGCCCGGGCAGTCTCCACTGACGGAACGAGCACAGCAGGGGTGGCCCCGGGCAGTCTCCACTAACGGCACGGGGAGGGCAGGAATGGCCTGGGCGGTCTCCACTTGCGGCATGGGGAGGGCAGGGGTGGCCTGGGCAGTCTCCACTGAGGGCATGGGTGACGCTCAGGTAGGGATAAGTGGCATCTTGAAACGTTCCATTTATTCGATGCTGCTACTCGGCTGCTGGTCAATAGTAATCTTGTGAAAGAATTCACAAGAAATTGTTCCTGCTGGACGATTCATATATTATGAATGAAGTTGTACGGACACTTTGATAATGTGCCATTGTTCTTTTACTTACATTAACGGGTAGTTACATTGCTTACATTAAAGGGTATTGATATTCACAGCATCTCTGTTTTTAGTAAGCGGTGCAAATAAGACCAGAAAAGCTGTCAGCAATACGCATGTGACACTGGGATTGGCCAATGTTTTCGTTTCCCGAGCTGCGCAAACTACCCCCCTCGCCCCCCCCCCCCAATTTCCTAGCCTGCGCTGACCTCAGCTGCTCCCCCCCCCCTGATGCAGATTCAGCTAAGGCGTGGCATGTACCTGCCCTAATGTATACTGGCCTGGCCTGTGCCGCCCCAGATGCGTACCTGTTGTCCTATGTACTGACCTGACCTGACCTGACCTGTGCCGCCCCAGATGCGTACCTGCTGTCTTATGTACTGACCTGACCTGTGCTGCCCCAGCACTTACCTGCTATCCTGTGTACTGACCTGACCTGACCTGTGCTGCCCCAGGCGCGTACCTGCTGTCTTATGTACTGACCTGACCCGTGCTGCCCCAGCACTTACCTGCTATTCTGTGTACTGACCTGACCTGACCTGTGCCGCCCCAGATGCGTACCTGTTGTCCTGTGTACTGACCTGACCTGTGCTGCCCCAGGCGCGTACCTGCCCTCGTGCGACTCGGACGGCTTCTACCGGCCAACTCAGTGCCACGGCAGTCAGTGCTGGTGCGCGGACCGGTACGGTGTTGAGCTGAAGGGTACTCGGGGACGCCGAGGCACCACGCGCTGCGGTACGTGCGGCTTCAGGTGCAAATGATCTCGAATATTTGTGAATGAATGTATGTGTAAATAATGGCGTCATGAATTGATAAAATATTGAGGGCGAAAGGGCTTACAACTAAAAAAAGAAGCGAATTCGACTGGTGACGTCGGAAGAACGGACTGCTTGAAAGGAATGTATGCGTAAGTAATGTCGTCCTAAGTTGATGTAAGATCTGGGGACGAAAAGGCTTCGACTGACAACGTCGGACGTACGGCCTGTTTGATCACGTACGCATTCGTTGTTGTTTGACCGCGAAGCAGTCAGTGTTGACGGTGTGACGGCTTACGGCCAGGTGGCCGGCGGTTTATGGCCAAACGTCACAGTTAATCTGTTTTATGTCCCTTCTAGTGGCATTCGTTAACGTGTAGCTCGTCGCATGACATGTTAAGTGCTATGCAGTATTTCCGAACCGGCGGGATATGCTATTTACGACACATGTGCGCGTGCTTAAGGAAGCCTTGCATGCTGTGCTATACCGCGCAGTGCTGCACACAGTGAGTGCGATGGGAAAATCTAAAGGCATCTACAACACGTGCGTGGCGTGGGTACGCGTGTTAGCAAGCGGTTCCGTACTCTGTCCCGGTGCAAGATTGCCATACCGAGGTCACCAGGTTGGTGTCACCAGGCTAGGCTGGGCTGCAACTGTAGCTGTAGCTGTAGCTGTAGCCGTAAATGTAGCTGTAGCCGGAGCTGTGGACGGAGCGCGGCCGGAGCGCGGTCAGAGCGCAGCCAGAGCGCGAACGAAGTGCGGTCAGAACGTGGTCAGAGCGCGGCCAGAGCGCGACCGGAGCGCGGCCGGAGCGCGGTCAGAGCGCGGCCAGAGCGCGGCCAGAGCGCGAACGAAGCGCGGCCAGAGCGCGGCCAGAACGCGGTCAGAGCGCGACCGGAGCGCAACTGGAGCGCGGCCAGAGCGCGAACGAAGCGCGGCCAGAGCGCGGTCAGAGCGCGACCGGAGCGCAACTGGAGCGCGGCCAGAGCGCGACCGGAGCGCAACCGGAGCGCGGCGAGAGCGCGGCCGGAGCGCGGCCGGAGCGCGGTCAGAGCGCGGTCAGAGCGCGGTCAGAGCGCGGTCAGAGCGCGGCCAGAGCGCGGTCAGAGCGCGACCGGAGCGCGGTCAGAGCAAGATCAAGGCGCGGCCGCAGCGCGGCCGGAGCTGTACCCGGCCGTACATGCTCCGCAAATAGCATACTAGGCTGATTTTGAAATACTGCATGATGCTAAACATTCCACGCGGCGAGCTTCTCGCTAGCGAATGTCACTCCTATTCCCCGCTCCCAGTATGACGGTTAGCGAAGCTAGCACACCCCTGTTTTGAACCGGACCGGGAAACGCGGATGATTCCACGCGGGCCGCAGCGTGCGGCGATGCGAACGTCGGCCAAGCAGGACGGTTGTTTTTAACTGGATGAGGCGACCAAGTTATGCTTTGAAGCGAGCGGGGAGTCGTCCGGCTGCGGGCGTCTGACAGGAGTGAGCGGGATGCCTGTGACGGAGGCGACCGGTCGTCTGCTGCAGAAAATCATCTGGCAGAAGTGCCACCGGGGCGAATTTTCCCTGAGTCTGCGCCACGCTTCGACACTTGCCGTGGGCGGTTCTCGTGTTCGTTTGTACTCGCTCTGTTTGGGACTTATTTCCGCGGTCGGCCTCTAAAGCTGCCCATGAGATCTGCGCTGTGGGTGATGGGGCCGTTCTTCTTCGCCTCAGTCCCCCCCCCCCCCCCCCCAATAGCCTTTGACTAGCACGGGCGGGTCTTGTCTCATGTCAAGCGTGTGTTTCTTCTTCCCGTCCGTCTTCAGCCCGAGACCTCGGGCAGGATCAGGTCGGGACTCTGGCCGGGATCAGACCGGGGCCTCGGGCGGGATTAAGCCGAGGCCTTGGACAGGATCAGACCGGGGCCTCGGCCGGAATCAGACCAGGGCCTCGGGCGGTATCAAGCTGGGGCCTCGGGCGGGATCAAGCCGAGGCTTCAGGCAGGATCAGGCCGGGTGTCGGGCGGGATCGGGCCGGGGCCTCAGGCGTGATCAGGCCAGGCGTCTGGCGGAATCAGACTGGGGCCTCGGGCGGGATCAGGCCAAGGCCTCGGGCAGGATCAGGCCGCGGCCTTGGGCGCGATCAGGCCGGGCGTCGGGCGGGATCGGGCCGGGGCCTCGGGTGTGATCAGGCCGGGCGTCGGGCGGTATCAGACCGGAGCCTCGGGCGTAATCAGGCCGGGCGTCGGGCGGTATCAGACTGGGGCCTCGGGCCGCCGGCCGACACGCCGGCTCTGACTCACCGGGCTGCAGCTGGCGCAGTAGCGGAGCTTCCGGGACGGCCGGGCTGTCCCCGGCAGACCTGTCCTTCGCAGCGTGAATGACAGTGTATGTGCGTGCTTTCCGTCGCTTGCCCCTGGTCGTGTTGTTATGCTTCCTCTCGATCAGTTGACACGCTTGTCGAGACTAGTCGAAACTAGCGGATGACTGATTCTTGTCGTGGATTGCATCACGCACGTGGTGCCGATTTTCCCTCCTCTTCACTCTCCACCTCCACTTTTCCGACGCTGATTTGGCTGGCTGGTGTCCGAAATCCATGCATGCATGCGACAACAGTTCTTGGGGCGTCGCGGATGTGGCGGCCTGCATGGCAACTCACAGTCCGTATTCCTCTCGATAGATGGCGACAACGCGCGATACGACGCCGACTTCAACGTGGCGGACGAGGATGACGAGGACAACTACGTCATCGACGGTAGCGGCGACGGCCTGCAGGAGTTCTAACTCCCTCGTCTGGGGTCTGAGGCGCCCTCCTTCGGCCTTCCCCCCCCCCCTCTCCGGCGGCGGCGGCGGCTCCCACGCCGCTGTCGCCGTGCCTGTGACGGCAGCTCGCGCGACCCCTGTGTGGCGCCGCTCGGCAGCGTCAGACGAGCGTGGCGCGCGGCGGCCGCCCGCCACGGCGCGTGTGTGTGATCTTGTCACCTTCTCGTCCCCTGCTCTGTCCCCTCGGCGGTTCTTGGCGAACCCGGACTGTGGCGCCGCGCCGACGTCTCGCTCAGCTCCGCCCCGGACCCGCCGGCGGTCCGGACGGCTGCCGGCGCGCGCTGACGCTCCACTGCGAGGGCGGCGTCCTCGGCCTGCGGCGCGGGAGACGCGTCCTCGGGAGGAACGTGCGGTCCCCCTCCTCGTCCTCTCGGCGCGGAGGGCGGCGTCCTCGGGAGGGACGTGCGGTCCCCCTCCTCCTCCTCTCAGCGCGCGCCCCGGCTCCTCTAGACGGCAGCCAGCGCTTGGTGTTTGTGTGTTAGAGCATACGCTGCCCCGTGAACCGCTTAGCCAGGTGCTCAGAGCGCCAGGATTATCGTAGGGGCACCCTAGAGACGACGCCGCCGGGGCTGTCTGGCTTGAACGACATCTGTTGCATTCCAGCGAGGTACAATATGTTCTACTTATTTGTGAGGCGTTTATTCTCAACGGAATCGTGCCATGGAGTAATATACTACTAACAATACATGTGTCTGTATGTCGCGAGCGTTGAATTGGCAGCGTGTGGCGGACGGTGAGGTCTGAGACGGCCGCATGCACCGCAGTGCTCTGGTGAAACTTGGCCAGTCCTGCCCGGCTGATCCACCTCTGTTCGATATTCAGCAGCTGTTAACCGCAAAGTGTTCGTGGAAGCGACGTATACTTGGCATAAACCGCTATTCTATGCGTCGATGGCAAGCAGACCCGCACACAGTGTCACAATCGAAATTTGGGTCACGAACGACTTAGGAAGACGAAGTCATGTGAGAGAAACAGCATCACCCTTCTGCCTTTCCGATGTAATGTGACAGAAACAGCATCACCTTCTGCCTTTCCGATGTAGTGTGGCAGAAACAGCATCACCCGTCTGCCTTTCCGATGTAGTGTGACAGAAACAGCATCACCCTTCCGCATTTCCGATGTAGCGTAGCAGAGACAGCGTCACCCTTCTGCCTTTCCGGTGTAACGTGGCAGAAACAGCGTCACCCTTTCCCTCCGCCTTCCATGTAACGGGGCAGACGAGTCAGCGTCAACCCTGTCTGTCCTATTCCGCGGTGTAAACGTGTGGCAGAAACACAGCGTCCACCCTTCCGCTTTCGATGTAATAGTGTCGAGACAGAAGTCGTCACCCTTCCGCCTTTCCGATGTAACGTGGCAAAGACAGCGTCACCCTTCTGCCTTTCCGGTGTAACGTGGCACAGACAGCATCACCCTTCCGCCTTTCCGGTGTAACGTGGCAGAGACAGCGTCTCCCTTTTGCCTTTCCGATGTAACGTGGCAGAGACAGCGTCATCCGTTCTTCTTCCCCATAAACTGTGACAGAAACAGCAGCAGCTTTCCGCGCTCCCGGTGTAATGTGACAGAAACAGTATCGCCCATCCTCCTTCCCGAGCGCAATGGCCATAAAACAGCGGCCCGGAAAACGCGTGTAATCGAACTGGAAGATTGTGATTAAATGCATTCGATAAGGCTGGTATCGAACTACCAAATGCCAGTACAGCATAGCAGTGAGATCTTTGCTTCGAAATTTTTCAATCAATCTCCCGACAGCGAATCATTGAGTGCTGGCGGAGCGGCTGAAAAGATTACTAGACACAGCGCCCAATTTGGCTCACTTCTACTTATGCGCGGAGGGTGCAACCGTGCGCTAACAACAGGACAGTATTGTTAGCATTTTCCGTCGTAGAAAAAAAAAAGACAGGAGAAAGGAGAGCTAAGTGTATGTTTTTATTTCGGTCACATGGCTATATCGAACCGGATGCAAGCAAGAAATTCAAAACCCCAATTTGTCGGCTGCACTGCCAGTGCACGTTCCTCCGGCAATGAACAAATTGCCTGCAATGCTGAAGTGTGAATTTAATATTCATTTTCGTTTCGATAACGGCGTGTAGCCGAGTTATCAATACACCCATCTCCCCTTTCTCCCGGTTATTCTACGAGGGATAATGCTAACAGTAATGTCTTTTCTATATGCATAATATTCCTCGCAAATGCACTTAACATTTTACCCGCCCTAACCATCTTATTGTGGGAGGATTCTTGGCCGCTGATGTAAATCTTACGTCGCTAGGCATGACGTTTTTTGTTTTGTTCAAGTCACCCCCTTGATATTAGTAGCGCAGGCGGCGGGGGGGGGGGCACAGGGGGCACGTACCCCCTCGGAACCTCCGGTTAAGGGCCCGACTAGAGCGCCTAAAAGGCCCGAAAGACTAGCTGGGATTCCCGTCAGGGATCCAGGCCCGCGGGGCCGGGCACTCCAATGCCAGCTGGAGCATAAGTGTGTGCATAAGTGTCATACTGTAGGCTTGTATTATCAGTTGACTTCTGTCTTGGTGGCATGGCATGCTGTTTATAAGTGATAGATCAGCAGAGCGCTTTGATGCCTGATCTCGGCCTTTGCTTGGTTTGATCTCTCAAGCTGTATCACTTTCCATGAACTGGAAACCATTACCCTTGCGTGTTGCTGTGGATCGGTCCGGTGACAGAGAGCGCCTGACAGAGTCTTGGACACCTTCATGGGTAAGATCTCGTTCATCATTCCACCCACTATCCATGGGGCTGTGCCACCTCCACCCGCCACTCGTTTCTCATCAGCTGTGCCCATCTACGATCGGTTCGTCAGCAGTTTTTCAGCACTCAAAATCTAAATTATGGGAGGGTTGCAGAAAAATGTACACGCAAACTTACTCTCTTGCGTTGATGACTGATCGTGATTGAAGTAGTTTTGAATGGAGCTAAGGAAAATGACAGAGGCGCAGGCGGCAACATTGTGTAGCATTTCTTCACGCATCTGACAGGCATTTCGTTAAGGCCGTACAAATACCGACTCCCAAACCCTTGTTTTTATTCGAAGGCTGCAACCGACCTGCAACCATTTGCCCCTTCCACATGGGCACCAATGGGCACCCAGCCCTTCAAATTCTCTTCTGCATCTACTTGACCGTACTTTGCTGGAAGCATTATTCCTTGTCATTCCATGTTGGTATCATCACATCCCACATCTGCGCCGGGCCATTCCCGCTGCCTGCATAGCCATGCCGTCGTGAGAGAAGCATCAAGAGGCACAGACACGTGTGATAGCACCGGCCGGTTAACACAGCACACGTCATGACCGGAATGCATTCCGGGGCGTTATTCACTGAAACTTGACTCAAGCGATGGCGCAGTCTTGTGAGCGAGGGCACCGGTAATGTCGACGGGTTCTGTTTGACTTCCCATTCCACGTCCAATCATGACGCCTGGCCTGCAAGGATTGCGTAAGAATCCTCATTTCGGCTGTGAGCTCACTATTATCTACGCGCACGTCGGCGTACCCGTCACGCGCCACATGCCTGTCTGACATGCTGACAGTCCGTCATGCTGACCTCTAGGCCACGATGCAGAGAAACGCATCGCGCCAAGCTCCAAAACCCGCAGCACTGACGTGCCCCGTCGGACGGGACTTCCCCGGCCACCCCGTCACGACAGGCCGACCGATGATCGAAGCTGTAGTTGAGCTGACGGCCGCCAGAGCGCTCGCGGCAGACTGAGCGGGGGAGCCGCGTCGGCGTTCGCCGCAAAACTGAGAGTAATGTGGTCTACCTGTTGGATATTAAAATACGCTGCTTGGAACGACACCAAAACCCCGAAAAGTATCCAGTTCAACTGCTACCATCCAAACCTCTCGCCAGA